GAGCGTACTATTATATAGAGAATCATAATGATGACAGAATTCATGTTTTGGCAAAAATCATACTTGGGGTTCTTTTGATCATGTCATCCATTTGAAAAATATTTACTTTCCAATCTTCTGCGCAGCGTCTCAGATTTTACCGCACTCACAATGAGATATCCTTTTGCAAAAAAATCTCGTTAATCGAAATAATGTTCTCACGTCTTAATTTGTGTTAGCGAGCTACAAACTTCATAATAACGAAAACACTGGAAAACTTTCCTCTCTGAGAAACAGCTCCATATGTTTAAAAAAGTCAGGGATGGTAATACTTTGTCCAAAACTTGCAGTTAACGCGTAGGTTAAACTTGAAATGGCGACCTTTAAGGATAACTGATGAGAAGTGCTTATAGAGAAGATGGTACGTCGTTGCAAAACTACCACAACCTAATGGGTTTGAACACAATTAGCCTTTCTGAACCTTATGCAGTATCAACCACAGCCACAAGGCTAAGACGGTCTTGTTTGACAAAGTATGTTTTGAGGGTAATCCTGCAAGGCATGATAACTCTTTAATAACTACTATCATTACTTTAACTACGCAGTACTTTTTTGACAATAGCATTAGCAAACAAAGCATAAGATGACGGAGTTTGATATTTTAATAAGCACTACGCAGCATTTTCATTCCCACCAATGTAAATAGAGTTGCAACAGTAGCTAAAATCAGCCTCCTAATCGATGGCGACGAAGCCATTCGCGGACGAATTGCCTACCGTAAAATACGTTAGCCTCTTAACCGATGATGTCCAATGCCCTATTCGCGTACCAACCACCTATCCTGAAATGCGCCAGCCCCCTTTTTTGGCTAGGAACAAAAAGTCCTCCATAGGACTTCGGAGCGAAATGAGCACTGCTACACGAGTCCTTCCACTATCACACTATCTCACCGCATCCGCCCAACTTACTACTAACTTCAACTCCCCCTTCTGTCCAGCGGAACTGGCAGATTAGTGCGATATAACTAGGAGGTTGCTAATAATTTCAAGGCACTTTTCTGTAAGTACTTTTTCATACCGTTTTTCTGTCAATTGTAAATTACCCAATTATTGACATCCCACCAAATTCACTTTTCCATATCTAAAGACACTTCACGACGTGCCCGTCAATCCTAAACTGCAAGTTAGGTGGGCAATAACAGCGAACAGATTCGCAGTTAACTCCTACCGCCCAAAGTGGCCAAGTCCAATGAATACTTTAGATGAAGTAGAATTCGCATCTAAAGCTAT